CTGCGGGCCGATTTTACATTTTTCACCATATCTACGGAATGAATTGATGGAATTTCTTGAAATTTGATATTTGGGTTCTGGCTGTTACCAAAACTAACTGGCGAGCATTTCAGGGAATTCGAGTAGCACAAAGCGAAATTCTACTAAGAGCCAAATTTACATTTTTCTAGGTATGTTAACTATAAGTTTACTAATGTCCTAAAAATTAAATTTTTAGAAGTATTTAACACATTTTTTTTTTTTTTGTGTCCCCGGTGGCCGAGTGGTAACGCACTCGCTTGTAGAACGACTCAACCGGGGGGCGTGGGTTCAAAGCCCACGAGGAGCGCAACTAATAATTGAATGAAAACACCTGTATTACCTGAATAAGGTAAATCAGGACAGCTGAATAAGGTGTAGGTTTTCATACTGACACAGCGTTCCCATATAGCAAAATAATAATCCAATAATAAAAATATACCTAAAATATAAGAATAACACTATTAGTAACAATATTATAATAAAGCTATACCTTAATATCCAATAATTAAATATATGAAAAAGCCACAATATAAATATAAAATATAAACAACTTTCGCGGCACGAGACAAAAACACTTAAGCCAGCATCACTGTTGACAACTTACATCAACGTTGACTTTGACAATACCAATAAACATCTTAACGTCAGGGATGGGTATAAGGCCGCGACATCTGGCGGAAAAATATGACGTCGTCACTCTACTGGGCGATAGATGAACTAACATCGAGTAGATAGCTACAGTAGGCTAATCACCTAGCTTAGCGAAAATAAGCGATTAATGAAACGGAAGCAGAGCCTCGGATAAATCAGGTAGAACACACGGTAACGAACTTAAGCATACGAAAAAGGACACGATTTGGACAATGGAATGTCAGAACACTAAGAGAACCCTCAAGACTAACTCAGGCCGAAAAAGAAATGGAAAAATACGGGATCAAGCTGCTAGGCATTAGTGAAATGAGGTGGTCAGGTATAGGTGAAATTACGACTCTGTCTGGAAATATGGTCGCATACTCGGGCAGTGGTTCTGAAGGCGGAGTAGGATTTATAATAGATAGAAGTCTACGAAAGAGTATTATGAAATGGGAGGCTATATCAGAAAGAATCATAACACTCAGAATACGCACAAAAATAAGAAACGTGACATTTGTTCAGTGCTACGCCCCCACGGAGCAAGCAGAAGATGAAAATAAAGACGCATTCTACTCCCAGCTCTCTACAACATTATGGAAAATACCACGAAAAGAAATATGTGTGATAATGGGTGACTTCAATGCTAAAGTAGGAAGCAACAAATCAAACGCTACTGGAAGGCATGGTCTGGGCACTCGCAATAACAACGGCGAAAGACTTGTACAGTTGTGTGAAGAGCATAATCTTGTAATTGGAGGTACAATATTTCCACACAAGACAATACACAAATATACATGGCTGTCCCCAGATGCTAAAACTAGAAACCAAATTGATCATATCTGCATAAGTCAGAGATGGAGACGTTCATTGATGGACTGCAGGACGCGGAGGGGGGCAGACATCAACAGTGATCATATCCTGCTCACGGCAGAAATACAAATAAAGCCCGCCGCAATCCGAACACAAAACATATCCAGAAAGAAAAATATCGAGACCCACAAACTAAAAATTACAGATATAAAGCGGGAATTTATATCGAAAATAACTGACGAAAGAGATAGAATTAATGAAGACAATATCCAGGAGATAATCAGACGGGTGGGTGAGGTCGTATTAGGCACAATACGCCCAGAAAGAAAGAAATGGATATCAGATGAAACTTGGAAAAAGATAGAAAAGCGTCGTGAGCTCCATAAACAACTTCAACAAAACAGTAGCCAGACACTGAGAACACAATATAATACTGTGGCCAAGGAAGTCAAGAAACTGGCCAGAAGGGATAAAAGAAAATTCCACAACAATATTGCCAAAGAAGCACAATCGGCAGCAGATATGAATAATATGAGACGCCTTCACAAATGTATAAACACCCTAGCTGGTGGAGGTCTAAAGAAAAACCATCCAATAAAAGACAAACAGGGCAATCTGATAACCAACACTCAAGAACAACTGATAAGATGGAGAGAATACTTCGATGAAACTAATATAGCCAATCAACAAATGATAGAAAGGGAACCAGAGGACTACAGCAATATCAGCCAGTTCAACACTAGACCACCATCTCAAAAAGAATTAAAAGACGCAATTACGAGGCTGAAAAACAACAGGGCCGAAGGTGCAGATGGAATACCGGGAGAAATACTAAAAGCAGATTCGGATATGACTGCTACACTGCTTGGACCTATAATTGAGAGGATTTGGCAAGAAGAAAAAATGCCTGAAAAATGGAAAGAAGGAATCCTTATAAAATTACCAAAGAAGGGTAACCTCCAAGAATGTAGAAACTGGCGAGGTATAACATTGTTAAACACGATATATAAAGTACTAGCCCTCACTATAATGGCAAAAATTGAACCAAAAATAGATCTGATGATGAGGGAGGAACAAGCAGGATTCCGCAAAAATAGAAGCTGCATAGATCACTCCAACACACTAAGAATCATAATAGAGCAGTCAAATGAGTGGAATAGCCCCCTATACTGCACCTTCGTCGACTTTGAGAGGGCATTCGATACTATCAAACAGGAATCCATCTGGAATGCACTATATCACAAAGGCGTCCCAACAAAAATTGTAAACGTAATTAAGGCCATGTATGATAACGCGCAGTCCAGAATACTACACGGCGGCCAGCTAAGCACACCTATTGAAATAAAATCAGGAGTCAGACAGGGATGCCCTCTCTCGCCATTCCTCTTCGTGGTGGTTCTCGACGATGTAATGCGTAGAGTTAATACAACAGCAAGGGGTATTAGATGGAACCTGACCAGCAGATTAGAAGATTTAGACTACGCCGATGATATCTGCCTCTTGGCACATACACACGCAGATATGCAAGAAAAAATTAAGGTGCTAGAAGAAGAAGCTGCCAAAATCGGACTTAAGATCAACGCCAACAAGACGAAATGCCTTAAAGTAAATACAAAATCAAATACACCTCTCCAACTACAAAGCAGTACAATAGAAGATGTGCCACAATTCAATTACTTGGGCAGTATCGTAGCAAATGATGGAGGTACAAAACAAGACATTGAACACAGATTGTCTAAGGCAAGATCAACATTTAACAGACTGTGGCATGTCTGGAGGTCACCCTACTTGGCCAGAAGCACAAAAGTCAAAATATTCAACGCCTGTGTAAAATCAACACTACTATATGGTTGTGAAACATGGCATATAGACGCAAGCTATATCAATAAAATACAAGTATACATAAATAAGTGTCTAAGAATAATATGCAAAGTATTCTGGCCCATAATTATAACAAATGAAGAACTCTGGGCGATTACAGAACAGAAACCTATATGCACAACAATAAAAGAAAGAAAATGGAGATGGTTAGGCCACACTCTGCGGAAAACAAACAACACAATATCGAAGCAAGCTCTAGAATGGAATCCGCAGGGAAAAAGAAGAGTGGGTAGACCTCGAAACACATGGCGTAGAACAATATTAAAAGAAGTTGAATCAAGCGGAAAGACATGGTCAGAAGTAAAATACCTAGCACAAAACAGAGTAAGATTTAGAGGTTATGTGGAAGCCCTATGTTCCCAACGGGAATGAAGAAAGGATAAAAAAAAAAAAAACAGACATTTTTATAATATTCTGTAACATTTCCACTTAACTAAACAATACACATTGCCATCGGTTATGTGCTGACCACATCAGATTTTTTTATATTGCGCTTCTGAAAATCTTTTCGTTTTTCTGTCAGACATTCTTATGGTTTAGAGAATAGTCAAATTTGTTGAAATTATTTTTAATGATATTGCAGATAATATTTATTTTATTAAACTTACCTTTTTATAATGTATTAAAAATAGTGTTTTCTACAATATCAAAAAATGATTAAAATCTGCTTTTCATTAAAATTTTTATATATGTAAATACATCAATTTCAGTTTTTCAAATGAAATTAAAATTTAAAAACTTAAAATTTTTTTTTTGAAAAAAAAACCTCTAAAAAATTACAGTTTGTTCAAATGAAATTGTTTTTTATATTTATGAAAAAAATTTGTAAAATTTCTCTAATTTTGGCCGCCTTTTAAAGTTTTTTAAATTGGCCACTTGCGTGTTGGGCACATAATAAGCGTTGGGTAGGCACGCATCTTTTTATAAGTTGAACAAGGAAAGTAATAAATATATAAAATAAATAAAAATAAAATAAAATATATTTAAAAGAATCAGACGTTTAGAATAGTGGTTTTCATGTATGTAATATAATTATGGGTGCGACAAGAAATGCGTTTACGTATAATATTAAGTCTACCATCACAAATTTATAGCAAAAGTGCGCAAACTTGCATACGTGCAAATTATTGTGGAAATATTAATTTCATTCTTTTCTAATTTTTGTGCATGTTTTTTATGCTAATTTTTTTTTATTACATATTTAGTATGTTTGTTAAAATTTTTGTGGCCTCCTGATATATTTCTGTGGCCCTCCTTTTTCTTTTTTTTTGTGGTCCGTTGAGAAACAGTGGTTTATACTACACATTCCTAGTGCTGTTTTTCATACATTTATGCCTTGTTTGAACCTTTAAATTAACAGTATGTATGTACAATATTGATTATTATTTCAAAATCAAGTCTAAACAGATTTTGATTTTATAATTTTTTATACATACATATGTAAAACTTTGATATTGATGATGTTGTGATTCATTATTGACTTTTTCATTTCCTGAGAAAATATTCAAACGAAAAATAAAACAGTATGTATGTACTTATGCAGAAATTTAGTTTTCATAAGAGTGCATTGTGTATGTATGTATGTATGTAGAATTTTTCAAAATGTCAGTAAAAAAACTAATTTTTCAAATTTAAAATGGCATAATTATACTTACAATCAGCAATTCCTTTTTTAATTTTAATCCAAATAGTGCAAATTTTCCAATTCATGAAATAATTCGTTGGACAATATTGAATTTATAATTATGTATATGCGATTAAGGGTTTGGTTAAAAATATTTATAGTTAATATTTCTAATAAAAGGTACTTTTGTTATAATAAATAAATTCATAAAGTTTGTCAAGTATTTAATAATTTTTAGACACATTTAAATTAATATAATATGTATAAAAATAATATTGAATAATTGAAAGATTTATCTTAAATTTTTTTTTCATAAAAAAAACTTAAATATATCAATTTAATGGTAAACATTAAATAAAACAATCTTACTTATAAGTTATTTTTAATTTTTTACTCACTAATTAGTTATTTTTTTTTTTAATATTTTTTATAAACTTTTAAATTTACTAAACCTTATTTAACTTTACTAGTTAATAACTAGTAAATTTAAATAAGGTGCACACAAAAACTTAATAAATTCTTTAAAAAAAAAATGTTCATAGAATGGAAAAAAGTATGTTGCGGACACACTATCAATCCCCTCTTGACATTTGAATAATTTCTACAAATGACTTTACACACACTAATACGTATTTTCATTAACTAAATTTATTTAAATTGATTTAAGTAAGTTCCAAATGCACAAAGCATGATATTTATGTATTTATAAAAAATTTAAATATTTACATATGTATTCAAAAGTCCTCTTATTTATTGCGATCATTCACTTTAACGTTTAATTTTCTATTTTAACATGCTCGGTCATCCGTAATTTTCTATAAATTTTTATTATTTTATATACACATGTAAGTATATTTGTGTATATTCTTTAAAATGAATCTTAATAAATGTTAAAAAAAAAAATGTCTGTCTTCCGATAGCATAATCTCTTCTCTTCACGATCTCGACAATAACTACTGTTGTGGTTGTTCTGGAAATTGGAAAGTCAATAAGTAAGAAAAAAATGTGTAAGCAAATAAGAAAAAAAAATCAAAAAGTGCAGTACACGAAAACCAAAGTATATCTATTAATAAGTAGTTCGACTCTCCGTTTACATCACAATAATGCAATCACTCACCAATGTTTGTATACAAAAAATTCCCTTAGTTAAAAGAGTTAAGCAGTATACCTTCTTATTTTAATTTTTATACACATAAGAATTTTTGGGAGAGGGAAAATGTACGCAATAGATGTCTACCTATTTTTTTATAATGTATTTTTAAAAGCGGGAGTTATTTATTTTTTCGTATATAAAGTATAGTAAGGCGGGAGTTTTATTTCTGTAATTTATTCCACTACAAGGTGGCAGAAATGGTGTATCCATATTATAATAGCGAAGCGATTTAAAAACAAAATTTGACTATTAAAAAAAAAAAAATTATAATTTAAATATTATATGTATATAATTTGAAAGCGGAAAAAAAGTGTTTAAAAAAAATTATTATAATTTGTATATAATTTTGCAAAATAATAAAAATAAATTTTGAGAAGACGATAATGTTAAAAAAAATTTAAATAGTTGTGAAAAAAATATTTTTTTTTTTTATAAAAATGGGTAAACATTATTTGAAGCAGAGAGGTAAATATGTGCTTTTGAAAATATTTTAATTTTTTCACAACTATTTTTAAAATATTTAAACATTTGTAATTAATAATTATCAATAAATTAAAATTTATGTTTTAAATTTATTAAGATTTATTTAAATCTTAATAAATTTAAAACATATTTCTTAGGAATCGGTAATAATTATATTTCATAAAGTATTAATCAGTATCTTTTACTGATACATCTTTTTTTTTCTTCATAAATTACTTTATTTCTATGTTACTACCTGATACTGCGTATCTACTGTACCAGGTACATCCATATGTACATTCATACATTTAATTTCAACTCATATATCTTTTGCTTTCATACATTCGAATTTTTTACCTAACTTTAATAAAATGAAAAATAAAAAATAAATTTTGTTTTTATCAAACAAAATTTTTACCTAACATTTTAAGAATTTGGAAGCAAAATGCAAACGAAAACTAACGGAACGAGTCGAACTACTTATTGTAGATATACTTTGGTAATAATTATATTTTTTTATATATAATTATGTAAGGGTATATGTGCTGATCAAAGCATATCTATTTTATAAGTAATTCGACTCTGCGTTTACAACACACCAAAGCAATCACTTGCTAATATTTGTATACAAAAAATTCCCTTAGCTAAAAGAGTTAGAAATATACCTTCTTATTTCATTTTAATACATACTGGAAGTATTGGGAGAGGAAAAGTGTACACAATAGATGTCTACCCATTTTTTTATAATGAATTTTTAAAATCGCACAAAAGCTTTAATTTCGTATATAAAGTCTAGGAAAAAATATTAAGCATTTTAAAGATGCACAAAATCATTTTTAGCACTTTTCCAAAAGTTTTTTGAAAAAAAGGGCTTTATAGTTTCACTCTGTCCGTCCGTCCGTGGACACTTTTTTTTTTACAAAACTTCTTCACCCTTGAAAATAGAAAGCTGAAATTTAAAACGTACATAGATCTTTACTAGAAACTTATTTTCGTAGAACAAAATTTTTACCTATCTCCCCCCCTCTAGAAGTGATAACCCCCCAAAACCCTAAAAACCCCATTTTTTAATTATTTAGTGCAGTGAAACCATAAGCACTTTTGAAATTTTGAAAACGCAAAAAGGCAGTGGCTTGCTTCCCCTAGCGCAGTATACTACTGTTAAACTTTAGAAAAAAAAATAGCCGTTCAAATTTACCGTTATCTAAAGTCCTTTTTTTCCAAATTTTTGATATTGTTTTTCTTCTAGACACCAGCCTGTAGAAGATTGAAATTTTTGGGGCTTTTAGACACTAATAAATGCTTCATTCGTTATAAGAAAATTTTTTTTCATGTCCACCCCCTCTCAAGTTATCGCCTATTGAAATTTGTAAAACTTGAATTTTTGACACCTTATATTTCCGAAATCGCAATATTTTAAAAATTTCTATAAGCGCGAAAAGCTAACGTAAATTCCATGACATTAAAAAATATAATTATTTTTTTAACTCACACAAGTAAACCTTAAAATCGAGCATTATGTTAACCAATCTTTATATTAATTTTCGCTTTATTTAAAAGACTGCATAAATCGTTCATCCTAAATATATGCAATCCTAGAAATAGTTTCGTATACGAATGAAAATAATTTTTATAGTGTGGTAGATATGAATAGACTGTATTTAAAAGCAGTATTCTCACTTGTTAAAGGGAAAAGTGCTACAATACAAACCATCGATTTGACCCAACTTTATTGTTATTTACTCCAGTACAGGTTGGCAAAAGTTGCATATCCAAATTTAAATAACGGGGCGATTTAAAAAAGAATTTGAGTGTTATACTAAAATAAAATAGTGTTATATTAAAAAACAAATAATATAAAAGAAACTTAAATGTGTAATTACTAATGGAATATATATAAATTATGGATATTTATTTTAATCTTGTCTTTATAAATTCAAAACACTTATTTTCTATGAATATCCGTACACACGTATAAGTAATACATTTTATAAATTATGAATTATATATGTAATTTTTTCTTTACAAATTTCTTTATTTCTACACCTCATGCCGACTTGTATATTTCAAATATTTTTAACATTTGAGCAAGTAAGCAAAATTTTTAATTGACTAAGAGAAATCGGCTTCAAGTCAAGTAAGAGTTATATAGACGTAAAATAGGTATATATACTTGAAGCAGCCATATAAACGGGGTGTATACATATTACCACATCATACTATGTATTAACTATGCATATGTATGTATACACAGTGTGATTCAGAAAGGTATAGAACAACACATACCATAAATTAGAGAGCCGAAAATGGGTAAAACTTTTGTTCCGGAGTAGGTGCGAAATCTCAAGGGTTTTCGAGATACAGGGATTTTAACGAATTTTCACGAAATTTCTAGTTATCTAAGCTTTTTTGATTATAACTTCCATTCCGAAAAAGATAGCGGCTTTAAACAAACAATTTCAGAAAGGTCTAAAAAGAACTTAAAATAAACACCTTACTTGATTATGTTTTTTGTATACTTTTGAAATACCAATCATTCGACCTTTAGGAAAAATCAAATTTTTCCCTTTTTAATTTTTCCAGTTTTTTCTAATCAGGTAGTTTCGTTCGAAATTTTTTGAAACTTTGATTTTTTTTACAAAATTTTGGCCTCTTTCTCAAATCTTAATTTTAGTCACTAAGGGTCGAAAAATATTTATAATATTATAACAAGAAAACTCCGAAATAAAACAAAACAGATGCAATGAACAAAACACAAAGATTATATACCCCAGGTGATAATCCGAAAATGCTGGAAAATCTACAATTTTCGGAGACTGGTTTCATGGATTCTAGGAGAGTGAATAAGCGGTTTATTGCATAGTAGACCGGCGTTGATGGACCCATTTAAAAGGAGATTGGGGGTCATACGTTCACCCCGATGATTGCCGACAAAAAAGGCTGGGTTTAGGATGCTAACTCTGAAAAAAAGTCTTATAATTTTGTAGAAGACAAAAAAATTTAAACCCAAGAAGGTAATTTGAGAAAGCATCTTATACAGAAGAGTAAATTGGAGCTCGAGAAGAACCGAGTTAGAGAGTCTTTGTAAGGTGCTATAAAACAAGTTCTGCAAATTACAAGAAGAGAATGCAAATTTATAAATTCAAACAAAATCTGCTTCAACAGAAAAGAAGAACAAAGATGCGGATGTTATTGTATATGAAACCGACGAGGAAAACTGGCTAGAGAAACTGACTAGATCCTAAAACAGAATAATACAAAGAAGTGAAAAATCTCCTGAAAAATAAATTCAGAAAGGACAGTTAAAAGAAATAATGAAACCAGCCCTAATATGTTGGTTGGTTTCATTATTCTTTTAATATCAAGTTAACCAGCCCTAATATGGGGGCTGGTTTCATTATTTTTATAATAAATACCATAATAATATAACAAAATCTAAAGAAGCACAAGCTTTATCCGGGTATATTGAGCAACATTAAAAACTACTCCCACATAGTTAAGATATTAAAAGAAGAAAAAATCAACGTTAGGGTCAACATCATGAATAACGACCAATTAAAAATAAATGTGGATCTGATCATTGGTGCAGTGGTTATGGCACCGGCCCTTTAACCGAAGGGTCTCGGGTTCAAACCCCGGTCAGGTCATTATAAAAATTATATTCAATATTATATAACTTAATATGCAATACTAATAAATATTAAACAAGTAATTTTCAAATATTCATAATATTCGATACTAAAAACTAAGAAAAATAAACAGTAAATATTAATAACCTCAAATAATTAATATAAATAAAACTACGGCAGGCTAGTCACCTACCTAGCTAACTCTCTATGACTATAGAAACTAGGGCATGATAGATATCATGCACTAGCCCTATACTCCTCCTAGGAGTGAAGAAAGAAAAAAAAAAAAAAAAAAAAAAAAAAATAAATGTGGACAATGAAAATGAATACAGATTGGTAACAAAAGTTATAAATAAGGCTAGACTGGAGTGGCCCACGTATGAGAATAAATTGTATATAAAGCCCGAGGATATAAAAAAGATAGATATTTGAAATATAATTACAAGGAAAAAAGCAGATGGAAAATATCTTTCTGTAATACTTCCGCTCTTTATGTTATCTTTTGACCATTTAGAAGAGATAACCAAAATCTATAAAATAGAATACTTGCAGCACATGAGAGTAAAAATTCAAGCTCTCTGAAGCAGCAAATCCATTCCGCAATACAAAAGATACCAAAGATTTGGACACACACAAAAGTTTTGCCAAAAAGAGGCTAGATGTGTAAAATTTGCTGGTGATTATATGACAGCAGACTGCAACAAGAAGAATAATTTTCAGCGGAAATGTGCGAACTGCAA